TAATAATATATCTATATTATTCCTATAAGATTTTAATAATAAACCTTTAGGATTCTTATAAGAGTCTAATAATATACCTATAGGATTCCTATAAGATTTTAATAATAAACCTATAGCATTCCTATACAATTTTAATAATAAACTTATAGGATTCTTATAATATTTTAATAATAAACCTATAGGATTCCTATAAGATTCTAATGATATACCAATAGGATTCCTATAAGATTCTAATAATATACCTATAGGATTCCTATAAGATTCTAACAATGTTATTATTAGTATGTATATTATATATTGATTCTTAACCTTTATGTATATGCACATATAACCAGATTTTTGGTGTCCTATAGGATTTAGATAGTTTTCTATAGGACTTGATAAAGTCCTATAGGACTCGATTTAGTTTTAGAACACTTTAAAATCCTATAGGATCCTATAGGATTCCTATAGGACATTTTCGTAAGGGAAGGGCCCAAAATTTCCCTGGCTAATCCCCTAGAAACCGCTGGAAATTGCCTGACCCCCATTGGAACACTTAACGCTTACAATAGGAGGATGAAATACATCATGATATAGCACATCAAGACGTTAATTGTTTGTGTTGAATTAAAAGTTATAGTCAGAAACAGAGCATTTTAAACATTTCCATGTCCACTTTAGTGATAAATTATCATAAGATCATCAACAGGTGTTCTAATAGACGGACTAAAGAATATCTAGTTGCTATAAAATTCAACTACTGATACGTCGTACAAATACTTGTGTATTGTGAATTGAACAGAAGGATATTCTCAGCAGTTCAATATATTATGCTTGACTGATTCATTATTCTCCTGAAGACGGTTGAAGCAAGTCAAACGAAACGTTGAGATATTCTCAACCAACAACAAGTTCTTTTCAGAACTATCTACGTGGTGTACCGCAAGCATTAATTATATATTATACTTCGCCATGCAAACCTTCAAACAATATTTTGATTCATTATTCTTGTTTAGTCAGGCATATACTTTACACAATTACTATACAATACAGCTCGATTCAACAAATACAAGGTAAGTAGCATACAGTATGTCAAAACACAGACAACCTAGAATATGCCAAGGAAAACGCTTACACAACAGATACAGAGATACAGGACACCTTGGCATAGATTAAGGACAAACTCAAAGGTAAGTATATTACTACTAAATTGTTAAAAAATGTGTTGTTAGATTGATACAATGATATTAACTCAAAAATATTTGAAAAAGTGGATTAAAATGTATGTATTTATTTTTTTAGTACTATGCATAGATGAATATACAGTATAGAAAATGTCTTAATCATATTCATATACCACAAAATCAATGGTCATTTTAGACACCCCTATTTATGTGGCAGCTCGTTTTCTGAAATTAAAATCTGCATTTACTTCTATCATTCAAATATATTGCAGTGAGAGGGTTCTAACTCTGTCCAGATTTCCTGTGACAAAAAAAATGCTATGCTTGTATAATGGTATGTGATGTCATGGCCATATTTGGGCAATTTCACAGTAAATGGACATGCCCAAATGGTCAAAGTTAAAGTAGATTTTTAAAGAAAAATAAGAAACCATTTTTGAGTTTTTTCTGTGTTTTCATGTTTGTTTTCATGTATTCCGATAATAAACTTAATTTAGTGGTGATTGCAGAATTTGTTTTTTTGTTATTTAATTTTGAAGTTTATAAACAGCATTTTTGAAAAGAAAAAAGTGTGACAATTTGTACTACATGAATGTACTGTATATGTGTTTTGAGTACCATTTCCCTATCAAATAACAAAAAAGCAGTCATTAGCATAATATATGAATGTACTTGAACAAAGTAAACAGTCGCAGCTATTAAACGACCATCACCTACAAAAAATACAGCAGTCCCAATATTATGATAACGGTCGTAACGGTGTATGTCAAACATTTTGATAAGTTCTTCATAATTCAAATACCAGAAAGACTCTCTAAGATGACAGGATATTGATATTTATTATAGTGTGTAACATTCAAATCTATCTATAAGAGAGAAGGTGTTGTAGAATGTTGACTAGTTTTTTTAATAAATCAAACATAAACATCTGGGTAGCTATGTCTGTCAAATTTGTTACGACAGTGAATCCCATTCGTATCATATTTAAATCCAGAATACTTTCATCAACAACTTCAACTTAGCAAATCGATGACGTCAACGGGAAGGAAAACATTGGCGGCAATTCCATTATCCTAGCGTGGGGATCAACGAAGAGAGCAGGCTATGTGTTTTGTCTGTCAATTTTGTTACGACCTTGTAGTGGTTACGACCGTGAGTATTATGAAGCGATTTTGAAATAAAATTGCAATAGATTCTTCTATTATGTGATCATATAGTTGATTAACAATAGCCTTAGGATATTAATGCAAGATGTAGTAGCGTGTGAAGGCCGTATCGGTAGCTATGATACAAAGTCTTGACATACCGGCTATTGTTCGCCTGGTATTGGGCGAACATTTGACATACTGTACTACTATAGATTTTACATCGCTCGCACAGCTCATTATTGCGGGGCATAAAATCACAATTTGCAGTATATTATAATGATGAATATTTTAAGTGTAATATTAGGTGGTGTTTTAAAAATTTTGTTATTAAATTACAGTGTATGGGGAAAATTTAAACAGGATCGACTCGATGTTTTGTATACTATTATAGTCGTACATCTTATTGCCAAGGAGCGTCCTCAATCAATCTAGTAATCACGTGCTCCCATAGGACCAATCACGATACGATATTTGTGTTGTTTACTTCCGGGGTCTGCTTCGTAGAAGCTGAAGGGATTCATGAGCTAATACAATGGGAAATTCAATCATATTTAAATCGGAATTGTTTGGGTAGAAAATAAAACCATCTAGAGAAAATGGGAATGGAAATACTAAATATGATGTTTTAAGATATAAACCTTCGTATTATTTGAGAAAATTACGAATTATTTTTGGATGATTATTTAAAATCAATGGTGACTGTAGGATGCATTCTGGAGTCTAAGCTTACTTTTAGTGGGCGGGGTTTACTTTTACCGAGCGGGAAAAGGGGCGTGGTCCTAGTCAAATCTGGCAAATTTTCAATAATTTTTTAAATATAAATTAAATTTTTTATTTAATATTTTTTATTGAATGAGTATTCCTACATGTGTTTTTATAAGGGACAGGGCCCCACCACACCCCACCTCCCAACCACACTCCACCTTCCCCCTTCCCCGAAAAGACGCACATGTTGTAGTGGCGTGACTATTACTCGATATGATTGGTCCAGCTGGTCCAACCATCGGCAAGGCCCATTAAAACTGCAGTGCCCTTCACTTTAGCCACACTACTTAAAACATTAATTATCTTAGTTTAAGAATGATTTTATTTTGTATTGTATGTGGAAAATATCAATAAACAAACAAACAAGACAATGAAAATAATTCTTTTTTTCATTTCTTTTTACAGAGTACAGTAGGTGATTTGAGGCAATGACATTGATTGTAAAACTTCATTCTAAGGAACGAAAGCACAGAAAAGGAAAACCAGAACCTTCTAAATGTGCAGTTGCCATGGCAAAAAGCAGGGAAAAAATGAAGGATAACGAGGCGTTATATAAAGCACATATCGAAAATGAGAGAGTTAGAAGTCGGCTGAGAAAACTAGAAATGACAGATGCCAACGGAGTGTAGCCAGAGAAAAGGCGAGGTTGAGAATGCGGAAAATGAGAGAATTGAAAAAGAAGAAAGAATTAGAAGAACTAGATGAATAAACTCCTGGTGCAAAGAAGAAAAGGCCTGCAACAAGAAGAGAAGTGCATAAGACCAGAGAGTACAATAAACAAAAAAAAGAAAGAATCTCGGGCAAGGCAGAGTGCTAAAAAAAAGAGGAGAGGGAGGGAGAAAAAAAGGGAAAGAATTGCAAAAAAGAGAGAGGCTGAGCGTCAGGAAAGGGAAATATAAAAAAAACTACATGTACCCTTGCTGTTCAAGAATCACAAGGTTTCAGCATGTCTGCCAAAAGTAAGACTGCGAGTAGGGTAAACAAATTGATGCCCAGAAATGCAGATAGATATGCCAAAGTAATAGGTCACATGGTTAGCAACGCAACCCCACGGAAGACAGAAGCTATACAGAAACTAAATTTACCTTCAACTGCCGAGTGTCAGCCACGGAAAGAACTTTTTAAAGTATTTAGCTGCCTAAAGGAAGAGCTTTTTTGAGGCGTATGGTGTCAAAACTACGAAACAAGTATAGTTTCAGTTCCAGAAATATCTGTAGTAATCTGGCACTAAAGTATCAAGAAGTTAAGGAGTTTTCAGATGAAACAATTTGTTACACAAATAAAAGGAAGAAACGATGCGATTCAATCCCAGATGAGACCATTCAGTCTGTTAAAAAGTTCATCAATCAAAAAGACAATATAGAGTTGCCCATACGGAAGGCAGTGAAGAACAAAATGGCAGCTAGAGTATGCACAACAAGCCAGATGGGGATGTACAAGAAATTAAAAGCTGACCTGCCCAACTTAATAATTGGTGCAACAAAATTCAATGAGATCCGGCGAAGCATGGTCAACGTAAAATTACAGGAAGCTCGGGGGTTAACACAATGCCTGTGCGAGTACTGCGTTAACGTTGATTACAAACTAAATTCGATACGATCATTCTGTGCCAAAAAGGGTGTTTCAACTAGTGGACTGAACAAACATAATGTTATGCTGGAAACCATGTGTTCCAATTCTGGTTACAAATATCCCCGTAAAGAGTGCATTTATAGAAATTGTAGTCAATGTGGGGTAAATAAATTGTAAGACAAATTTCAACCATTTTTAAACTACCAAGACCAGAAAGTACGGTACAATGTTTGCGTATATCAAGAATCGACTCTTACAAAAAAAAAAAGAAGAAAGTTCCTATAAAGTGTACAGCGTAGAGGAGATGTACAAGGAGTTACTGAAGGAAATTGAAACATTTTCTGCTCATAGTTTTCATGCCCAATGGCAACATGATCAGTACAATAAAATTACTGAAAATATTCCGGAAGCCACAGTTATTATGGTTATGGACTTCCCAGAAAATTTTACATGTTTCTATCAAAATGAAATCCAGGGGGCATATTGGGGTAAAAATGTAGTTACGATTCATCCTATTGTCTGTTTCTATCTATGCCCACAACATAATGTGCCAGTACGCGAGTATTTGGATTTCATAACTGCAGACAGCCATGCTGTTGCTGAATTTGTTACCCGTGCTGTCACTCACTTGGGAGAAGAACGAGGATTATCTGTTTGCAGAATTATCCAGTTCACAGATGGTTGTTCTGCTCAATACAAATCAAAAACACAATTCTTTGATATTTCACAGGCTATGCCAGACCTAAACACAACTATGGAGAGGGATTTTTTTGGATCGTGCCATGGCAAAGGCCCCTGTGATGGGGAAGGGGGAGTAATCAAAAATTCTGCAAGAAGAGCAGCTCATAATAATTATTAGCCCCCCCTGATGTTGCTGGAAATAGGGGCCAATTTTAATTCATTCTCATGATTTTTTCTGGAAACAAGATTATCTCAGCTACTAGTTCTCAAATTTTCCTTACAATTTAGGCTAGTTAAAATTTTTGAGTGTTTGTCACACCAGCGTGTCCATTTACTGTGAAATTGCCCATATAGGCATGTCATATATTTTTGTAAACTAAAATTTGAGAGTCTGGAAGGCTAGGGCTTAAGATATTCTGGATTTAAATGCTTCATACATTAATGTCTAGTCTTTATGTAGTTAAATTAGCGACCATATAAACAATATTTCATCCAATGTTTCAAAGCGTATTGGTGTCATCCGACGTACTAAATATTTTCTTCCTAGTTATTTTTCCTCTTTTCAATTATTGTTGTTGTGTCTGGTCTAATTGTAATGTTCAAAATTCTAACTGTTTATTTATTTATTTATTTATTTATTCTGTCTTTCTACTGCATGCACTTTCAGTACTTGTGTACTGTTTTTCAAAGTGGTACAGTTACATAAAATACAAAAGTTAAAAGAAAAGTAATTAAAAAAACATACATATATATAAATAGATATCATATATACAATAAAAGTGATTAAGAATTAAAAGAGTTTTTAAAAAATATAATAGACATGTCCATGAAATTTGTTGTTGTTTCGTGTGGAAGTTCATTCCACAACTTTGTTGAGCAATACAAAAAAGTTCTCTTGCCTTGACAGTTATTCCATTGTGGTTCAATAAGGTTATTATGAGATTGACTACGTGTACATTTTGAATGGGATTCGATATTAAATTTAAATTAAGGCTAACTGTTCATTCCACCTTACATGTAGTCGTTTCCATGCAAGTGAACTTAACATAACATCAACGGAAGTATATATATGTCAACAGACAAAACAATTCTACTTAATCTGTTCATTTGAACTTGTAAACAATTAGAATATTGAACATTACAAGTTCTTATGAATAGATTAGGTAGAATTTTACTTTCTGTTGATATTAAGACTCCTGTTGATTATATTTGAAGTACCCTTGGATGGAGTAGACTTAATGTGATTTGGAATGAAAAATTACTTCTTATGACTTTCAAATGCTTAAAAGGATATGCTCCTCAATATTTGTCTTCAAAATTTACCTTTAACAATACTACCCATTCTAAAGGCTCACATAGCCAAACACATAACAACCTGGTTCTTGCAATGTATAATATTGGACAGGGAAAAAGAACTTTTTTATATCGATCATCCAAATGCTGGAATGAACTACCACACAAATTAAAAATTAATTTTAAAGAGATGTCTACTTTTTCATTCCAATTTTATTTTATTTTCTTCTTTGTTTTTATTTCTACTGTATATATTTCTTGTCACTGTACCACTTTGAAAATCAGTGCTATGGTACTGAAAGTGCCTACAGTATAAAGAAAGATTAAATAAATAAATATACAGGTAAACTAAAATGGTAAAGAAATTTTCACAGGAAAACATGTTAGCTTTGTAAAATAAGTTTTATTTATTAAGTTTGGAATTTTTATAATTCTATTCCAGAAATGAATGAGTACAAAAATAATCAACATGTTAAAACAGTAGCTGCATACTGACAACATGGCATCATGCAAAAGTAAGTATATCAGTTATCCTTCATAAAGAAACACACTTTAAAACTTCTTTTTTTGATATAGATAAACTGTTCTTCTTCCTTTCAATCAGACTGCATGGGAAAAAATGTATACTCATTTCACCTCCACCAATTTACGTACAAGTTATATATTAGACAGTTTGTGCAAACAAAAATAATATAACAGACAGTTTGTGCAAACAAAAATAATAGATGTTAAAATTTGTTTATCTTCCCCACATTGTCAGACTCCTTTTTATTTTGATTTCTAATACAAAAGGATTACAGAAACTATGAGAATAATAGCGCCCTCAGTTAGACAGTCTGTATTAATATGCAGTGTAGATGACAGCAATGGCAGCCACTTTTTCATCAGACATATTCACTTCTAAGAATTTGAATTTGTGAAATATTTTAACTTATTATTTATGAATACAGGAGATGTTAACGGTACTTTAAATTAATAATAATGATTTTAATAACGATTTAAAAATTTGTATGGCAAACTTGCATGTGATATTTTTATCTATATTGTAGAAGATGACGAAAAAAATCTTGGAGGTCTTAAGTTGGATGTGTCCAAATGGTTTGACAGACGATGCAGTCTCAGCATGTTAAAAGTGTTGTACAGAGACCATGTAAAAGATACTTATGCATTACATATGTGTTCTAAAACGATGGACATCATTGAGTTACTGATTGGTGCTGGACATCTGACTCCACACAATCTCACTCTCCTCTATGAAACTATTAAGGTAACACAACAATTTGGTCTGGAAGAGTTAATTAAAGATCGACATCCATCATTTACGATATCAAAAGATATTAAGAATATTGTAATCACAAAATTCACACTTCATCGACAAAGACTTGTAAATCTGGGAATGGCACTGAGTCCAGATGAAATAAAACAGATTGGTGGATTGTATAATGTTGCAGAGAAACACGCAACTAACAGCTGGACTTTGATAATGAATCTAGAGCAGAGAATGGTAATTTGTGAAGGAGAGATGGAAGTCTTCATTAAAAACCTGAAGAGATATAAACTCCCAAGGGCAAAAAAAGCTCTAACAGAAGGTAAAATGAATACAAAAATGTATACATTACATATAATTATTAAAACAACTCCATGAGTATTTAATATAAGAGTACCAACTTTATTTCCAGTGTTTCAATGTTACTAAATGAAAAAACTACCGGTTTAATGCAACACAAACAATAAACTAGATTTGAACTCGTCACTGAGGACGAGTTTGGTGATCCGCCGTACTTTGACCCTCACGAAGCACGCGCGGTTCTGATTGAAAAGTATTATATGCTAAAACATGCTCTATTTAAAGAGTAATTTTAAGCATTTTAAAAGAAATTTTAAAGGAAAAGAGTAATTTTGAGCATTTTAAGGACTTACAAATGTGTACACATATGTCTTAACGTCCGTGCGCACGGTAGTATTAATACAGTGTCAGAAACCCAACACATGTAACCGAAACGTAATTTCCAGCTTCAGTATGTGCTGTGGGTGTGGAAATGAGCGTACGGCGCGTAAAAATTGGAAAGTTTTGGAATATTCAAAATGACCTGAATCGTGCTTTAAATTATCAGAAAAGTGATATTAACAATTTTAAAATTTTAACGCACATGTACGAATACCTTATACGACGTGCCTAACGACGGTAATGGCACATGAATTTAAATTTGACCATGATGACGTCATCAAAATAAAAAATAAAGGGACACGTCCGAAAGAGAATTGATTTAGCTATAACATACTCACAGGTGGGAGACAATCAATCAAGATAAGCGAGTACGTTCAAACGAGTATAAAAAGTAATAACGTCATAAATAATCTTATACACATCTAGATGTGTATAAGAGACAGCCTTTCATCCTATGGAGCTATAACTGATTAAAAATATTCATGGTTATATGCATATATAAACGTTGACGCACTCGTACGCGCACGTTAAGTCGCGCGAACGGAAAATTAAGGTACCTGACATTCAACCTTGACCTGAAGATTATGCTCACTTAATATGATTCAGAAATGACGAATGGTTAAGATGATATGGGCTCATCAAATTTTAGATGAAAGAAAGATGTGGGGGTTAGAAAAAACAATTTTTTTGACTATGATGACGTCATCAAAATGTAACTAGATTTGAACTCGTCACTGAGGACGAGTTAGGTGATCCGCCGCACTTTGACCCACGAGGAAGTGTGCGCGTGGCGGATTGAACAATAATTAAATGCTGATAATGGCAACATACGCAAATTTAGTTTGTTAAAAAAGAATTTTGAGCATTTTAAAAGATTTACTCATGCGTATGCGCACGTCATCACGCACGTGCGCATCTTAATGTCACTGTTGTCTTTTGATATGAGATATATATGTATCAACTTTCATTGACAAACGCCTATTGGTGAAGGGGTAATGATCATTATCATATAAAAATTCAGTTTTTTTTTACCTCAGGATGGCAATATGGTGACGTCACAATGTCCGATCAGCTATTATGATATATAAAATCATATCTACAACTCATGTGCTTTTAGAATATGTAATAAAAATTGGGGGTCACCTTTCATTCTAAGGAGCTATATTTGATTTATAAATAGGCATAATTATTAGCATATGTAATATTTGACGCACGCGTACGCGCACGTTGAGACGCGCAAACAAAAAAGTAAGATACCTAACATTCAAACTTGATCTGAAGTATAAGACCATTTAATATTATTCAGAAATGACGAATGATTAAGATGATATGACGTCATCAACGTTTTGAGAAAAGAAATATAATTTTTTTCTTGTTTTTTAATTCAGATGGCAACATGATGACGTCACAATGTCCGATCAGCTATTATGATATATAAAATCATATCTACAGCTCATGTGCTTTCAGAATATGTAATAAAAGTTAGGGGTCACTTTTCATCCTAAGGAGCTATAACTGATTTAAAAAAAGACTTGATATAAAGCATATATTAATTTTGACGCACGCGAACGCTCGCGTTATTACACGCGCACAAAAATATAATGTACATAACATTTAACCATGACCTGAAGTTTATACCCACTAAATATGATTCAGAAATCACGACTGATTAAGGTGATTATGGGGGTCATCAAAGGCTGGACGAAAGAAAGATGAGGGGGTAAGCAAAACCCTATATTTTGACCATGATGACGTCATCAAAATGTATAAAAATGCCATATATATGAAAGAGAATTGCCTCAGCTACAACATACTCAAAGTTGGAAGACAATCCATCAAGAATAAGCGAGATACGCTCAAATGCGCATTTGCTAAAATGAGGTCATCGATAATATTCAGTTTGTTGAATTCAGATGGCAATATAATGACGTCATAATGTCCGATCAGCCATTATGACCTATAAAATCATATTTGCAACTCATCTGCTTTCAGAATATGTAATAAGAATTGGGGGTCACCTTTCATCCTAATGAGCTGTAACTGTTTAAAATTAGGCCTGATTTTAGCAAAATTTCACTGTATATCAGCACAAATGCGCACAAAGGTCACTATGTTTGATGCAGGCGTACGGCATTGTTATTGGCCATAGAGTGATTGAAAATATTGGAAACTTGTCAAAACAATGTCAGGAAACCAAAATTTGACAAAAAAATTATTTTCTAGCTTCCATACGTGCTGCGCCCTTAAAAATGCGCACGCATAGTGGTAAATTTAAAAAAAAATTTGAAATGCTCAAAATGCCCTGAAACGTGCTCTAATTTAATCTAAATGTAATTTCAAGCATTTTAAAAGTTTGACGCACGCGTACGCGCGCGTTATGATGCGCACGCGTAAAATTTGGGTAAATTACATTTAACATTGACTTGAAGTTAATGCTCACTTAATACGATTTTGAAATGGCAATTGGTTAGGCTGATATGATCGATAATGTAAAAACGCAAAATTGCGCATAGATGACGTCACGCATACCTGCGCACTTTGAAAAACTTATTGTGACTATTCCAGGCCAAGCTAAATGTTTGTTGAAGCGTGCATGTATGAATCTCGTGCCAATTTTTAGATATCGTGCTAACAAGAAATGGGAAAAAAAAAAGATCTCTGACAATAACAAGAGGTGATCCGCTAGTGTAGCTGATCACCAAAAAGAAGTCAAATATATGAAAGAGAACTGTCTCAGCTATAACATACTCAAAGTTGGAAGACGATCGATCAAGGATAAGCGAGATACAATGAAATGCGTATTTTCAAAAATGACGTCATAGCTATAAATCACTTTCTTTGAATTCAGTTGCCAATATGATGATGTCACAATGTCCGATCAGCCATTATGATCTATAAAATCATATTTACAACTTATGTGCTTTCAGAATATGTAATGAAAATTGGGGGTCACCTTTCAACCTAAGGAGCTATAACTGATTAAAAATATGCCTGATTTTAGCATAATTTCACTGTATAGCGGAACAAATACGCGCAAAGATACCTATGTGTGATGCGCACGTACGGTATTGCTATTGGCCAAAAGATGACCGAAAAGAATGGAAGTTTGTGAAAACAATGTCAGGAACCCAAACTATGTGAAAAAAACATAGTGTCTAGCTTCCGCACGTGCTGCATGCGTAAAAATGCGCGCGCGTAGTGAAAAAAAAAAAAAATTGAAATGCTCAAAATTGCCTGAAACGTGCTCTAATTTAGTTAAAAAGTGATTTCGAGCATTTTGAAATTTTGACGCACGCGTGCGCGCGCGTTATGAAGCGCACACGTAAAATTAGGGTACAGTACATTCAACATTACTTAATACAATTTCGAAATGGCAATTGGTTAGGCTAATATGATCGATAATGTAAAAACACAAAATTGCGCGTAGATGACGCACAAAACAAGGTATAGTTAGGTAAGTTTTCGCTTTAACAGGACAGCTAGAGATTTATCAATACACCTTTGAATGTCAAAGTTGATTTTATGTGTAAAAACATTGTTCTTTTCAGAATATCAACCATTATCTACCTTTGCAGATAATACAATATTGGTTAATGAACCAAAGAGCACAGCAACATCTTCGGTAATTTCACAGTATGATTCTTGTACTAAATTATAACTAAAAAAACGAATGCTCTTTGTACAAGCCTTGAAACCATATTATTGTGACCCATGTATTAAAATAAGCAATCTGCTGCTGTGTGATTCAGAACAAAGAAGCTTAAACCCAATCAAGGAGTTCATTCATCTGTCAGAGCCAGCATATATTTAGTCTAGTAGATGTTAGAAGACTGCCTCTAGGATGCAACTGACATCAGTGGCAGGAACAAAACTAAAGTGATTTTTCCCCACATCTTTTGGTCACAGAATCTCAATAATTGTTTCTGTTTTTATCTGTCCTACACGAATAAGTAAGGTACATAAGGAAGAAAACATATTGAAAAAAAAACAGAAAGAGACAACAACATACGTTTCAATCTGCTACTAAAATACATGATTGATTTTTTGTGATTTTAAATGTAGAACCTATCCTATCATAGGTGATATAAAACTATAAAACAATTTTATTAATCTGCAGTTATAATTTTCATTACAATATAATTTTTTTTTAAAATTTCAATTAATATCTTTGATAATATCCACAAGTATTACTATTATAAAACATTTAATAAATAATGTTTCCATAATTACTTTGTGTGTAAATTATTATCTTTTTAGTAGTTTGCCTTCTTTTTGATAGTTACATGTTTGAATCTTTATTCTTCGTAAATTCAGATCATTCTTTCATCTCAATGTTGCTTCCTAAATATTATCTATAACAAATTAAAAAGAAATGAAATTACCATTAGCCAAACCCCAAAAATTATTTATAATTCACAGGATTCTGTTAAGATGTCTCCCAGTGATTGGACAAAATGTGTTTGCGGAAATGAAAGACGGGTAAAATACTATTGCCAAAATTGTAATCATTACCTATGCTCTACATGTCATGAATGTCACAAAATATTTCCAATGTCAGCAAATCACAAGCTATATTTAGCAGAGGATGTGCGATCAACGAAGCCTTTACAGATTGCTTCACTGCAACGTGATCCTGAGAATGTTACAAAATTGAAGGCAGAAGAAGTTCATAAACTAGATGTGAGTGCTCATGGCAAACCAGTGGAGCAGTCACCAATGAAAATCAAAGTGGAAAAAGATGTGCGATCAACGAAGCCTTTACAGATTGCCTCACTGCCACAAGGTGATCCTGAGATAGTTACAAAATTGAGGGCAAAAGAAGTTCATAAACTAGATGTGAGTG